ACTTTAGCAGTGGGACTTCTGGAATTTAAGGTGATGGAATGAGGCAGGGGCATCTTGGTAATTCTGATGTGGCAAGTGTTGCTGTGTGGTAGGTAGTACCCACTCCTAACCTCAGGCCACTGGACCTGGTCTTAGCCAGGAAAGGCACTCTTGGACAGAGCCCAGACCTGTATGCCCTCAAGGATCCCAACCCACCAAGACACCTGGACACTGGTGGAGACAGAAGGAGCACTCATGGCATCCAGTGTGGATGCCAAGTCCAGGTCCTGGTGGATACCAGCAGAGACCAGCTGGCTGGGAGAAGGGCAGGAGTGGACCAAGGAGGGGCCTGAGAGGCCAGGAAAGCTCCAAGGCTTGACAATAACACGTGTCCCTTGCCAATAAACTGCTTCTTGTCTGAGGCTTGGACTCTGTGTGTGTGTGTGTGTGTGTGTGTGTATGCACGCATGGCAAGGGTTGAGAAAGGTATAGAGGGGCTGCTACAGGCAAAACCCTCAAGCCATGTGTAAATTTGTGTGGGTCCCTTGCCCTCTTTGAGCCCATTAAACAAGGAGGTTGTCTTAGCATAGCCACTTTCCAGCTCCGACATATGGTTCAAAAACGGCCACCAGCTCCATCAGCTGGTGCCCCAGGCCTAAGGTCTGGCTGCCCACAGACAGCACCTACACCACAGCCTCAAGGACGACCCTTAAAAGGAAAAATGTGAGGTGCCGCGGAGGGAGGGCAAGCGACAAGGAAGAGGGATGGGGTGTTCGGGGATCGCTGTTGCTATGGCAACGGCTACCCGGCGAAACGTTGCAGAGCCGTCTGGTACAGGCGCAGAAGGCCCGGACACTTACACCTCCTACAGGGACCTCGGGAAACCCCGCGTCCCTGACACGCTTTTTTATGTATCGAGAAACAAGTCATTTAGCTGCACAGCCCAAAGGAAGAGCAAAGAGCATGCCTCCATTACCGGGAAAAGCCAACCGTATTTCCCAGCTCCCGTGGGTCCTCGGGGGCGGGACTCCAATTCGCAGCGTTTTCCGAGAGCGCCAGTAGGCAGGAAGGGGAGAGAGGAACTGGCTTGATTGGCCAGTGAAAAAAAGACCAGGGCGGTTCACCAAGCTAAGCAATGAAGTACACGATGGCTTTGCAAGTTCGCACGTCCGGGTGTCTCGGTTTATCGTGTGGGAATAGTCCCTGGATAGAAGTTCTCGCGAGATCTTAATCATTGGCCTGTTCACTAGAAACCCAAGAAGGCTCCTGCAGTACAGGTCCTCCCGATCCTCCCACCCCTTCCAAGTTCCAAGTTCCTAGAACTTTGCATCCGGGGCTGGGGCTCTTGACAGCTTCCGCCCGTAAGCGCACACGAACCTATTGGCCTGAATGGAGCCTTTTTGCCGCTTTTGGAAGATCCTCCCTGCTGGTTTCCCTATCTCCCTTCCCTACCAGTTTGACTTCCTAGCCGGCTTGTAGTGAACTCTGTAAAATTACATTTGGCTATGTCACTCCCCCATTAAAATCCCTGCCGTATCTCCACATGCCCTCTCTGTAAAGCGTAACAACTTAATCGGCATTCAAGGCTTTCTACTTGTGTAGTTTCAGCCCTGTGCCTCTTAAATGTTTCCTTTCTTTGGAATGCTCCTCCACTCCCCCTTGTGAACTCTCCTGTCAAAACACCTCAAGCATAACTTCCTCCCAGAACCCTTCCCTGAGTCTCCAGCCTGGGTTAGAATCCTCTTCTCTGAGCAGCCGCTATCTGAGCACATTGAGAGCTTCTTGAGGCTAATCGGTCTCTCACTCAACAGCATTACCTACTGAGTGCTGGGCACTGGGGATAGAAAGATAAGACAAAGTCCCCACTCAGTTTTATTTTGTTTGGTTATTTATTTATTTTTTTCCTAAGAGATAGGGGCTTGCCAAGACTGGAGTGTAGTGGTGCGATATAGCTCACGGCAGCCTCAAACTCCTGGGCTCAAGCGATCCTCCTACCTCAGTCTCCTGAATAGCCAGGACTACAGGCATGTGCCACATGCCCAGCTAATTTTTTTTTTATTTTTGGTAGAGACAGAGTCTCGCTATGTTGCTCAGGCTGGTCTTGAACTCCTGGCCTCAAGCAATCCTCCTGCCTCGGCCTCCAAAAGTGCTGGGATTATAGGCGTCAGCCACTGCCCGGCCTGCCCTCAGTTTTCACGCAGAAGACAGACATTGAACAAATAATTACAAGTGTAGTGAGGCTATCCAGGAAGCCTACATGCAGGAGAGAATCCTAAGTGATCCAAAGGCGTCTCCAAAGAAGTGGCAATTATGTTGAGACCTAAAGTTGAGTTGGAGTAAGCTGAGAGGGAGGAGGTAGAGGATAAGATGGGAGATGGAGTGTTTTAGGCAAAGAGTATGCATCAAGTCCTTGGGGATTCCAGAACTGAAGTAAAGGTGTAGTGAGGCTGCAGGCACCTAGTGAAAGGTGGAGTAATGGGATTCAGATATAGACTTCCACATTCAACTTTCCACCTCCCAGTCCTAACTGGGGCCTGGTACCCACAGGCCTCCCTAAATGCTTTGAAGGGTGTTCTTGAAATATGGTATGCTCTTCAGGAGAGTTTACAGTTCCACAAACTACTACCTCCTTGTCAATCTGGCAAATTCTCACTCATCTTTATGGTTTTTTTTTTTTTAGAGATGGGATCTTGGCACGTTGCCCAGGCTAGAGTGCAGAGTGCAGTGCCTATTCACAGGCGTGATATCAAACTCCTGGGCTCAAGGGATCCTCCTGTCTCAGCTTTCTGAGTAGCTGGGATTGCAAATACATGCCACTACACCCAGTTAATTGTTTTTTATTTTTTGTAGAGATGGAGTCTTGCTATGTTGCCCAGGCTGGTCGCAAATTCCTGGGAACTCCTGGGCTCAAGCTATTCTCCCACTCAGCCTCCCGAAACACTGGAATTACAGGCATGAGCCACTGAGCCCGGCCATGTTTTTTTTTTTGAGACAGACTCTCGCTCTGTCACTGGGGCTAGAAGCTAGAATGCCATCGCATCAGCCTAGCTCACAGCAACCTCAAACTCCTGGGCTGAAGCGATCCTCCTGCCTCAACATCTGGAGTAGCTGGGACTACACGTGTGCATCACCATTCCTGGCTAATTTTTTCTATTTTTAGTAGAGACGGGGTCTTGCTCTTGCTCAGGCTGGTCTCGAACCCCTGAGCTCAAGTGATCCTCTGGCCTCAGCCTCCCAGAGTGCTAGGATTCCAGGCGTGAGCCATTGCACCTGGCCTTTTCTTTTTCGTTTTTTATTTAATCACAATCTTCTTTACTAGGCTATGAGATTCTCAAGAACAGGATCTAGATCCAATTGCACATTGGTACCTATACATGTCTGTAGAGCAAATGGATGGAGCCCTTTTCCTTCCCTGTGCAAGTACCTGTTCCACACAGCAGGAGGCTCCTTGCAGCTGGGATTTTCACTGCTCCAGAGGCAGGCTTCTGGCTGTCTGGTCACTGATTCTCTCTGACTCAGGGCCAGAGGCCCTAGAGGTGGGGTTCCAGCCATAATGGGTCCCTGTCTACCTTTCCTCCCTCTCTTCTGCTACATTTCCCCTTGTTGTATGCTTGTATGCTGAGATCCAGCCACACAAGCCTTTTTTCTCTTCCTCAAACACACCAAGCTTATGCCTCAAGGCCTCTGCAGTTCTGTCTCAAGCACTCTTCTTCCAGATTTTCAAATGGCTAACCCATTCTTGTCATTCAAGGTTCATCTCAAAGTTTATTTCCTTAGAGACACCTTCCCTGCCCATATTAAAGAAGCCCCTCAAACACGGCCACTCCTTATTGGACCATCTTGTCCTATTTTCCTCATTGTACCTATCATTGTCTGAAATTATCTTATTTACTTATTGTTTACATTTTTTGTACCTTTAGAAGTGCCACTGGAGCCAAATTTTTGTGTGTTTTATTTACTACTGCATCTCCAATGCCCAAAATGGGTGAGAGGCCACAGCAGGACTAACTGTTTGATCAGACAACCAACACAATCAAAGTGGCTTTGGGGTATCTGGCACGTGAGTATCCAGGCATGTGCCCCCTTCTCTAAATTTGAGTAGGTGTAATCTCACCACCCACGTTATGCCCTGGGCTTTGCCTGACTGAGGCTCAGGTTTGAGTCCTGGCTCTGCTACCAATTTCCTCTATAACTTCATTCCTGAGAGATAATTTGAGGCATAGAAGAGCACCAGCTTGGGACCTGCTGCTTGCCAGCTATGCGACTGAGCAAATTATTTAACCTCTCTAAACTTTAGTTTCCTCATTTATCAAATGGAGATAATATAGGAATTGTAAGCCCTTACTGAATGTTATTTCTCTTTTCCTTCATCATTTCTGAATAGTAGTTGCCCCATTCATAAAATGGGACAATTAGATATCTGCTTATTCAAAAAAAGTGGGCAATACAGATGTATATACGAAATATCCCAATTTTTAAATGATGTAAATTAAAACTTTGTAAAAGACTTGTTTTGTTTTGAAACTAATTTGTAAAAGTAAAAATACCCTGAGGGCCAAGCAAGATACTTCAGTGGACTGGATTTAGCCTGGGGCTACTAATTTTCCACCTGGGCTACTGGTTGTCAGGATGCTATGATACCCTTACTGTGTAATTTAGGCAACTCGGTTTACCTCCCTGACCTTCAATTAGCTCATCTGTAAAATGGGCCCATGACCCATCGTTGTGCGGACCAAATGAGACCAGGCGGGTAAAACGCTGAGAACTCTGGCGCGTAGTAGGCACAGCACACTTTAAACGGCAGCGGCAGCTAGGGCGACTGTTGATTTGGGTAGTATGTATTCAAGCAGCAAGGTATCTCAGAAGCCGGGAGACCAGGAAGGCGACGCCGAGAAAGAAGGAGAAAAAACAGCAGGAGAAGAAAAAACAGGGAAGGGAAGAAGTGAGGAGGCAACAGGGTCCGCCCTCCAGGCGGGGCGCCAGCGAGAGGCCCAGGCCAGGGCGGGAGCGCACGTGGCCTATTTCGGGCGGAGCAGACGCGCTGGCCGCACCGGAGACTTCCGAACGGGCCACAGGAGACAAGCGGTGAGGGTAGGTTAGAATCCGGCTGCGAGGACCTTGAACACCGGACTGGGGTGGCTCCAGGTCCTTGGCAGTCGAGGGACAGCGAAGGGCGCGGGGTCTGGGCTCGTAGCCCTCCCCCGGCAGTTTGGGTCGGACGCCTGGGTCCTCCAGGCCCCTCCCTTAGGGGGCGGGGTTCGGCGTTCGGACCAATGACCGGCCGTCCCTGGGGCCCCGCCCCTGCCCCGCCTCCGGAGCCGCGGCCTCGCAGAGTGCCCAACCGCCCGGCTCCCGGGCCTGGGCAGCTCGAGCGCCGAACCTTCGGCTGGTGAGTGCGTACCTCCCCACACGGGGTTTCCGCCCCGATCCCGCCTCCAGCCCGTGCCCCAGAGCTCCTCCGGGTCGCCGACCCAGGCGCCGGGGAGTGACTCAGCGCTAGGAGGGCGGCGACTCGCGGGGGCTGGAGATTCGAACTGCTCGGGGCCTTGAATGCCGGGATGAGTGGGGTGAACGCGAGTCTCAGGAGCAGGTCCCGGGGCAGTGCCGGAGCCTGGAGCCCGGCAGGGGTGGACGGGAAAGGGCCAGACTCGGACACCAGGGCAGGGTGGGAGAAGCCACGGCTGCACCGCCTTGCTTGGGCCAGGGCCAGGGCCATGGTGGGGGGGGCGGGTCTTGAGCTTCTGACCCAGCTCCCGCCTCAGGACACCAAGATGCCTGGCGAACAGCAGGCAGAGGAGGAGGAGGAGGAAGAGATGCAGGAGGAGATGGTGCTGCTGGTGAAGGGTGAGGAGGATGAGGGTGAAGAGAAGTATGAGGTGGTGAAACTCAAGATTCCCATGGACAACAAGGAGGTACGTGTCACACACACACCCTGGGGCCCGTTGCCCCCAGAACTGGTCCAGGCTTAGCCTTCCTCAGACAGAAGCCAGGGATCCTTCCCCTACCGTTCCCTGAATCTCAGATCTAGAACCTCAAGGATGGCCCATCCTTCTGCCCCATTGCCCAGGCTTCCATCATATAGAAGTCACACCTACCACCCGGTGCTGGAGAGTAACCTCCATCCTTGGATCGCCATGGAGCTTGATGTCTCTAGCAGGGGTAGACTGATGAGTAACCGTGCAGTTACCATCCTGTGTGATGGGTGCAGGCACGGGGTGGGGGGCGGGGGGTGGTGGTGAAACCCAAAGCTGGGATTAGAGGTGGGTGTGGGGAGGTCAGGTTAGGCAACAGTAACAATAGCTAACTTTTGCATAGCATTTGCTATGTGCCAGACACTGTTCTAAGCACCTCACTTCTACGATGTAGGCAGTATTTATTCCATTTTACAGGTGAGGAAACTGAAGCCCAGGAGAGTCTGGTAACTGGCCCAAGGTCTCAAAGTTAGTAAAGGGATGGCTTACCTGGTACCAGTGGGAGTGTGAGGGCTGAAGTGGGTTGACTGCCCCAGGCAGAGGAAAGGGCCCTTTTAGAGGCTCAGAGGAGTGAGTGGGGCGCTGCAGCAGGGGGGCAGGTGGTTTGGTCATACTTAACATGGATGAGGCTGGGTCATTGGCAGGGTTGGCAGGCCACATAAGGAGTCTGAGTTTTATCCTGGGGGTTTCTGAGGGTTTTGAGATCAGAATATGAGTTAGATTTCCCCATTGCAGACCCTAACTACCACCAGATGTGTTTCTACTTCCCAAAACCCCACAGGACTCTGGCTGCCCCCAGCCTGAGCGGCCGTGGGTCCTGCTGGAGAGCTGGTGCCTACTGGGCCAGCTTTCAGGGCCCAGGGTCCTGCTGATTTCTTCCTGCACAGGTGCCAGTTCCTAGGAGAAAAAGTTCTGTTGTCTTCTAATGGTGGGGCCTAGGGGGCTGGGGGAGGGGACTAGCTCCTCAGGCCTCCTTTTCCAGTCTAAATAACTACCTGGTTCTGTTTTTCTCAGACCTCCTTGGCCCATCATCCTAGCTCAGCCTGCCTTTTCTGGCCCTGTGGATCCGCTGATTTCCACCTTTGGCCTATAAGTTAGGAGCAGAGACTCCAGAGCTTAGGGTGGACTTCCAACTGCATCACTTACCAGTTGTGTGACCTTGAGCACATTTCTTAACCTTTTTATGCCTCAGTTTCCTCATTTGTAAAAGGGAAATTATAATAGAACCTACTTCTTGGAGTTGAGGATTGAATGAGTTAATACATGTAAAGAGTTAGAAGTGTGTCTGGCACATAATAAACATTATGTAAATAGTTGCTGTTTTTATTTATGCTGTTATTATTTATTCTCACTAAAGTTCAGGACCCTGGGCTAGGTCATCCTTCTGGAGATTTTTTTCAACTCATTTTTATCAGCTCCTGGCAGGGAAGACTGAACATTGGGGACTGGGGAGGCACAGGCAGAGGACTGAGGGCAGACAACTCGAGGCAGTGGGGAAGGCTTCGTGGAGATGATTTTTGACTTGGGCCTTGAAGGCTTACTGGGGATTTGGCGAATGGAGGAGGAGGAAGGGCGTCCCAGGAGGAGGAAACAGCAAAAGCAAAGGCTCAGAGGAGATTCAGCTAGAAAGGTAGCAGGAACCAGAGAGTAAACGGCCTCGAAAGCCAGGGTAGGACATACGATTTTAGGTTATGTGATGCCATCAGGAGCCTTAAATCAGGGGCGGGGTGTGACCAGATTTTCTATTTAGAGGAAATCATTGGCTGTTATGGGGAGACCAGGCCAGGTAAGGCTAGTAGCCTGCTGTAAGGTGGTAGCAGGAGTGATGGAGGGAAGGGGAATGTTTAGGAACCAAGTTTGGACTAGCTGGAGCTGAGGTGGGGGTGGGGTTTGGCATGACTAGTCAGGAAAGGCATGTGGGGCCAGACTGGAAATGGTATCACATAGCAGTCAAATCCTAACTCCCCCATTTACCAACTTTGCTTTGGCTTTCTTCTCTGTAAAATGGGATAATAAGATCCTCGAATGCCAGTCTGAAAAGTGTCATCAGGGTGACTGGATTTGGAAGACAAGGATAGAATCAAGGATTTCACACACATATCCTGTGAACATTTAGCACTATGCCCACGAGATAGCTCATTAATTTGCTGTAGGCCTCCCTGAGCCTCATTTCTCTATCTATAAAATGGTGATCTCAAAAAGGCCTTCCAGTGCTGACATTCAGTGACTCTTACTTGTCACCCAGTCCCATGGCCAATCACTGTCCAGAATAGACCTTAATTAAGCTGTACTCCGGGACCAAGTATTCTCTCTCTGCTTATCAAAATCCAATCTGTCTTTAAGAATGTAACTTTCTCCGAGGGCTCCATGCACATCCAAACCTGTCTTTCCCTGGCTTGAACCCTTGCGTGGTTTTCTGTTTCCCTCAAGATGAAGTCTTAGCTTCTAAGTCTGGCATTCAAAGCTCTTCACCATCTAATCTCATGTCATTCTGGCTTCATCCATGCAATATCTATCCCCATTCCCCAGCGTCAGACACACCTGACTCACTCTCACCTCTGAGGTTTTGCCCATGTGATCTCAGCATGTAAAATCCTTTCTGCCTTTTCCACCTGCTTTCTCCAGGAGTAGCTCTTCTTTCTCCTAGACAAGGTTTCTTAATTTTTATCATGCATACAAATCACTTGGGGATTTGTTAAAATGATTTTGATTCAGTAAATCTGGGGTGAGACTTGAGATTCTGCATTTCTAAAAAGTTCCCAGCGACGCTAATGTTGCTAGTCTGTGGACCACATTTCCTATAGCAAGGAACTAGGGCCCTGGGGTCATGTCTTATAATTTGTACCAAAAAGAAAGAAGATTCTGAACACTAAAAGTGTCCAGGGAAGGGAGACAAGCCATGCAGGTAACCTCAAACTCTAGTAAATGAGATTGGAATTGCATCATGGTTAAGAGAATAGGTGTTTTGGAAAATGACCCACTTTAAGTTCGAACCCTGGCTCTACCATTTATTAGCTGGTTGGCCTTTTGTACTCACTTAACTTCTGAGTCTTGTTTCCTTATTTATAAAACAGGGCTAAGGTACCTAACCCAAAGGATCATGAGAATTTAAAATACGAACATGAGTAAAAAACACTTAGCACAGTTCTTGGCACACAGTGAGTGCTCAATAAATGGTAGTTGTTATTATTAATTAGAAAAGTAGTGGCTGAGGAGGAAACTGGGATGTTTGCCCTGGTTAAAAAAGATTTCAGCAGGAAGACAAAATCACTAACTTCAAATACCTGGATTATGATATTATTACACTATATCTCCACAGTACCCTCTTGTTACAGTGCAAATACCATTCTAATTTTAAAACCTAATAGTTGTAGAATTTAACACATGTCAGGGCCATTAATGATCACCTAGTGTGGTATTTGCCAAGTTTCAGTCACGTGTGTCGCTCATGTGTTGTACTCACATTATTAATGCTTTTCTTTAAATAGATTCACATTGTTAAATAAATTTACCTTCATCTAAACAATAATAGTGATGAAATTGTGAGTTTCATGTGATCTAATGTTTTTCTAATATCCATAAAAATAAATACATAACAATTATAATGAGATAAAAGTTTGCCCACGTACCCTCTCATACCTCAAGTTGGGAAATTTTGATTTCACCTAGCCTACCTGACCTTTGTCAGGACACTGAGGCAGGGGACTTTAAGACTTGCCCAGGGTCTTAATGAGCTAAACTCAGCCCCTCTTACCAAGATTCTTCCTTGGGTACCCAAAGCCCCTTCCCCTGGGCTAGAGGCACCGAGGATGCTTGTGCAGAGAATTTCTTTTTCCTCAGTCCTTGAACCCAGCATGAGGAAGTCCTCAGGCTGTCCAAAGTCACCTTAAAGAAGGATGCCAAGGAAATATGGGACAGAAAAATGTAGCTATAATGAGAAAAGTTCTCTCCACAATGGCTGATGTGTTGAAATAAACCAACAGATGTCAAAACCAGGGTGAGACTGGAAAGCGTGACCTTGAATTCAGACTGCCAAACCTGCTGTGGGAGTTTCTTGATTTAAAGTATCAAGTTGTATTTTAACCTTGAATCCCTCTTGGAGAGAGCCAGAGACTTGGAGTCCAGTCTCTGTCACATCTTGGCTGTCTGAATTCAGAGAAGAGTATAGCCTATTGGTGCAAGGAAGGCACTCTGACTCCCACTGGCTATGTGAATTTAATCTCCCTCAGCCTCGGCTTTTTCAGCTATCAAAAGAGATAACACCTGACTCAAGGGGATGACAGAGGACCTAATAATGTACATACAGTAGTGCTGTCAAAGCTTAACACTGATATTGATTATTGCTATTATCATTGTTACCCTTCTATATACTGCTTAGACCAGTATATATCCCTTGGTTGGTCACTAATTTCCCAAATTGCCCTGTTTTTCAGCTTCTGAGTTGATTACCAAAAGTGGATGCCTTTTGACAAAGGGTCTTGAAGGCCTTGAAGGTTCCCTCTCGAAGGTTCCCTCTCGCAGCTTCGGAAAGAGAAGGCCCTATTGTTCTCTAGTTGTCACTTACCCTCTCTTAACCCGTTTCGTCATCTGTAAAATGGTGATGGTGATAACTACCTTGCGGAGATGGGATATGGGAGAAGCTAACACTGTCATGTCCTTAGTATGTGTCAGGTTTTTACTTTGGTCATGAATTAATGTTCTTAACTGGTTGGCCCACGGTAGATACTCAACATCACTTGCTGGGATGAATGTTCTCTTTTCTAAGAAGGGAGCAATGTGCCCTCAATATTCCTCTTCACTCTTCTGTTAGTACAAAATGCTTTCCCATTACCTGCCTCTTACAAAGCATTTCTTTCCTTTTTCTGGTTTTATCTCTGGAAGCCCAGACCTCACGAAACTAGTGCATTTTCAAGTTTTTTTTCATTTCAGACCTTAGAATAGCATTTGGTTTTTACCTTTGCCTTTTTCTTCACAGCTTAAAAAATGACAGGTGCTTGCTCTTCAAAGTTGATTGAAGAGTTTGGATTCGGTCCTAGTCTGGCTTCCAAGATGCCACTCTCCGGGCTCTCCTCACTTCCTGGCTGCTCATCGTGCTGCCTCAGGTGGTCTCTGCCCATTCTCTGGGTGATCTCATCCAATCTCAAGGCTTTAAAACCCATCTGTAGGTTTGACAGTTTTTCAATTAACATCTAGAGTCTAGGCCTCACACCTGAGCTCCAGATGTGTCAAGGAGAAGTGAAGATACAGTTCAAAACAGATCTCGACTTGTTCTCCACTGTCCTCCTCTGTAAATGGCAACTCCACCTTTGCAGATGCTAGGCTCCAACACCTTGAAGTCATTTAGACTCCTCTCTTTCTTTACACCCTACATTTAACCTGTTATTCAATCAGTTGTCTCATACTGCAACATAGATCCAGAAGCCAACCACTTCCCACCACCTCCACTTTCCACTTGTGTCACCTGAGTCTGAGACACCATCTTCGCTTGCCAGGTGACTGTAGTAGCCTCCTTCATTGGGCCCCCGCTTCTACCCTCTCCTCTCCTTCATTCAGTTTTCAACCCTTGCAGCCTGAGGAAGTCTTTTAAAATGTGTCTGATCTGGTCACTTCCCCACTCGCAACTCTCTGACATCCTTTCTAATGATTCCACATCTCATTTATACTAAAAGCCAAAGTCCTCACTGTCACCTACAAGGCCCTAAGCTTAAGAGATCCCCTCCACCACCACCACTCCATCCATTACTCTCCCCTTCATGCATTCTGCTTTAACCACTTTTTCTTACCATTCCTGTAAACTCAACAGGTGAGCTCCTGCCTATTGAGTCCCTTGCTGTTCCCTCTGTAATGCTCCTTTGAGGGATATCCCCGTAGCCTGCTCTCATCTCCTTTAGATCTTTGTTCATGTTACTGCATCACTAAGGTGTCTTGACAACCCTATTTAAATTTGCAGGATCCCCAATATCAGCATGACTTACCCATTCTTCCTGAAAGCAGGAATTTTTTAATGCTGTCTTTTTGTTTAATGCTGAATCCCCAGTGCCTAGAACGAGTCTAGCAGGTTGCATGTTCTCTCTCTCTCTATATATATATGTATTTTTTTTTTAAAGACAAGAGTCTTGCTCTGTTGCCCAGGCTAGAGTGCTGTGGGCTCACAGCAACCTCAAACTCAAGGGCTCAAGCAATCTTCTGCCTAAGCCTCCCAAGTACATGGGACTACAGGCCTGCGCCACCACACTCGGCTAATTTTTTCTATTTTTAGTTGCCCAGATAATTCTTTCTGTTTTCACTAGAGACGGGGTCTCGCTCTTGCTCAAGCTGGTCTCAAACTCCTGACCTCAAGCCATCCTCCCGCCTCGGCCTCTCAGAGTGCTAGAATTACAGGCGTGAGCCACCGCCCCCGGCCAAATATTTGTTGAATAAAAAATAGCTAGAATGCCCCCAGCATTGTGATATGTGAGTTATAAGTATCATTTAATGCGCACAAGCATCCTATGAGGCAGGATTGCTTTCTATTTCACAGATGGGGAACTGAGGCACAGAGAGGCGGCAGCTTGTGGAGACCCAGGTCTCTGACTCCGGGGCCTGTCGGTCAGGGCTGACCTGTGCCCCCTCTCCCCGCAGGTCCCGAGCGAGACGCCGGCGCAGTCCGCCGACCCGGCGCGCCCCCACGCGTGCCCGGACTGCGGCCGCGCCTTCGCGCGCCGCTCCACGCTGGCCAAGCACGCGCGCACGCACACGGGCGAACGGCCCTTCGCGTGCACCGAGTGCGGCCGGCGCTTCTCGCAGAAGTCGGCGCTGACCAAACACGGCCGCACACACACGGGCGAGCGTCCCTACGAATGCCCAGAGTGCGACAAGCGCTTCTCGGCCGCCTCGAACCTGCGGCAGCACCGGCGGCGCCACACCGGCGAGAAGCCGTACGCATGCGCGCACTGCGGCCGCCGCTTCGCGCAGAGCTCCAACTACGCACAGCACCTGCGCGTGCACACGGGCGAGAAGCCGTACGCGTGCCCGGACTGCGGACGCGCCTTCGGCGGCAGTTCGTGCCTGGCGCGCCACCGACGCACGCACACGGGCGAGCGGCCGTACGCATGCGCCGACTGCGGCACGCGCTTCGCGCAGAGCTCGGCGCTGGCCAAACACCGGCGCGTGCACACGGGCGAGAAGCCACACCGCTGCGCCGTGTGCGGCCGCCGCTTTGGCCACCGCTCCAACCTGGCGGAGCATGCGCGCACGCACACGGGCGAGAGGCCCTACCCTTGCGCGGAGTGTGGCCGCCGCTTCCGCCTCAGCTCGCACTTCATCCGCCACCGTCGCGCGCACATGCGGCGCCGCCTCTATATCTGTGCTGGCTGTGGCCGGGACTTCAAGCTACCCGCAGGTGCCACAGCCGCCACTGCCACTGAGCGCTGCCCGGAGTGCGAGGGCAGCTGAGTCGCCGTTCTTGTCGCCCCGGGGCTGCGAGTGCCCGGCTGGGGAGGGGAGCGCTGGTACTTAGACGTGGCTGCATTAATCTGGACTCCTCCTGCACCGTGGCACCTGGGCCTGGGAAATGGTGAGACGGCAGGCCTGGCTGCCCTGGAACTGGGAGGCAGGGAGAATCCCCTGCCAGGGTCCCTGGAAACCATGCCCACCTTCCCCTCACTACATTCCTTTGGCCCGTGTTAGTGAATAAAGTATTATATCCTCACCCCACCTGTGCCTGTGAGTGAGGTGGGTGGGGAGAGGAAGAAATACGGGTTTCTCCAGACAGGTGTATTATCCTGGAGCCAAGTGGGGCTATGAGCCTAAAGGGATTCCTCCATACTGTTGGAGGGCGGAGAGGTCGTCCCACATTTCGCCCTTATAACCATGGGTACGAAAGGGCCCATAATTATAACCAGGTCATGATCGAACAGGCACTGCGTTTTGCAGAGCTTGGGTGAGGAAGACATGCATGACTCTCTCATGGAAATCAGTCTAGTGAAGGAGACAAACTTTGACACTATGTTAAAGGTTTAAATGCTTAGTTATGTAAACATTAGCTCATTTTCATTCTCAAAACATCTTAGCTAAATCTTTTATCTCCACTCTTGCAGATGAGTAGGTAGATACCCAGCAAGTGAACGGTAGAGCAGGCAATTGCAGCCAGTGTCAATTGGAGCTTACCATGGGGGAAGTCAGGCTCTTAGAGGTGATGTTTAAGCTGGGTATTGAAGGTCAAGAAAGAGTTGGGGGCCGGGTGTGGCGGCTCACACCAGTAATTCCAGCACTTTTGAAGGCCAAGGTGGGAGTATCACTTGAGGCCAGGAGTTAGAGACCAGCCTAGGCCATGTAGCCAGACCCTGTCTCTACAAAAAATAAAAAAACTAGCTAGGTGTGGTTGCACCTGTAGTCCCAGGTACTCGGGAGGCTGAAGCAGGAGGATCATTTGAGCCCAGTTGAAGGGTGCAGTGAGCTATGATCACGCCACTTTACTCCAGCCTAGGCAATAGAGTGAGACCCTGTCTCAAAAAAAAAAGGAGTGGGGGAATTATGGAGAGGGCCCCTTAAACCACCTGCCAGGCTCTTAAGAAGTTGAACATGTTCCCTGGCGCGGGGTGGAATGTGGAGACAAAAAGCAAGGGGGTTTGCAGGAGACGGACCATAAGGGACCTTGGAAGCAAGGTTAAAGGATCCAAGGCAGCAAAACTCTTGAAGGATTAGAGGGGAAGGATGGATGTGACATCCTCAAGGACCTGGGATTGAGAGAAAAGAGATGGGACTGACTTCACTTCTTAGCCTGGGTGACTGCAGGACAGTGTCACTGAGATGGCACAGGATGAGAAGCAGGATGCTGAAGTGGGGGCAATTGTGACACCCCAATCTGGACATGTTGAATGCGAGATAAAAATAGAGGCATCAGGGATATGATTGGAAATAAGAGACACCACGTCCACAAGAAGGTACCTAAGAAGAGTCTTAAAAGAACAGCCAAAGGTAGGAAGAAAACCAGGAAAGTGTCTTGTGTGGGAAGTCTAGAGGCAAGTGTTACATGAAGGTGGGAGTGGTCAGCTGCTGCTCTGGCATCCACATTTGTCATGACTCTGGGGGAAAGTGGTGAGTAGTTTCAGTGGAGGGGTGGGGTATAAAGGGGAGAATGAGAAAGCAGAGTAGGTGGGTGCAGACAGCCCAGTCAAGAGGCTCAGCTGTGAAAAGCGTGAGGGAAGTAGCCAGAGGATTGATGGTTTTGTCTTGTCAATAGGGAAGAGACTCAAGTATCCTTTACGTGCTGGTGGGAGGGATGAACGAAAAAGAAGAGAAGTTGATTACATAGAAGGGGAAACGAGATAACTGATAAAGAAGAGGGAATGAAATCAGAGATTAGGAATGAAATCAGAGATTAGTAGATGATAAGGTCCATGTTATCACTGGAGAGGGAGAAAAGTGGGTTTGGGAACATAAAGCAGTCCAATCTGATCCATTGTTTTACCTGGGAAGGTATCTTCCTGCCTCTTCCCTGGAGCAGGTATCTCAGAAAGGGAAGAGATGTGTCTGAGTTCACACACAGTAAATCATACACACTCAACACTATCTTTAGGGAAGAACAATAAATCAGCCTTGCTGTGGGTGGTCTTCACTTTTATCAAGGAGCCCAAGAGGAGAGGAAGTCCTGTTCTGCCCCACATCAGAGACCCTGATTTGTGACTCTGATTTCTTGCTCTGGGGCCTCTGAAAGTTTTGAGTTAAAAAGGAAAACAAAATAACTGCAAACTTACCAAGTACCTTACTATGTGCCACGCACTGTCCTAAGCACTCAAATAACTCACTTAACCCTTACAACCCTATCAGACACTATTATTTTCATTTTACAGGTGAGCAAACTGCAGAAAGATTAGTAATGTGATAAACATCATTCAGCTTGTAAGTGTCAAAGATGGCATTTGAACCCAGACAGCCTGGCTCCAGAATCTGCACTCTTAACCAGTATTACACACAGCATTCAATCTCTTTTATGGGTCCAGAAGGGGGAAGAATTTACATGAGATCCCACTGGGAATTTGCCAGAAACCAGATCTCTCTGCCCTGTAGGCAGGAGGTACAACAGAGAGACATGGGAATTGGGCTCGAGGCATACCTGGTTCCCCTCTTCAGCCCCTGCTGAGACAAAGCCTCCCTGGCTGCCCAGGAAGAATCTAGAAGTTGTTGCCCAAAACTGTTTTATTGGGAGAGAAAACACCAGGAGGCTATCTTCTGGAGGCTCCTGGGCCTCGCACCTCAGGCAGTGGGGTCCTCAGGCCCATAGTCTATTAGAAAAAGGCTAAAGCAAGGTTCCAGGCCGGGCCACCCTCGGCTCTTCAGATGCCATGCTGAGTTGCAGGTCCTGTGTCCATGTTTTTAGGTTGAGACTTGGCCTGTGGACTCACGGGCAAGCTCTGCAGGCCCTACAGCCTGGTCTTCAGAGACGGCCCCGTGGGATAATTCTGTATACTTGCGGGCAGAACCACGGGACAGATGGGCTGGGTAGCGTCGCCGGTTGGTGTCCATTTTGGAGAGCACTGCTTGGGGCAAATCCACATGGCAGCGAGCAGCTAATGCCACTAAGTAGATGAGGACATCACTAAGCTCCTCTTGAAGGGCTGCCCGTTCCTTGGGGGGCCATGCTTGGGGACCAGGCTTGTCATCAGGCTTCCACTGACTGGGGGTGGAACACAAACACACAGACGCCAGCTAGCACAATGGGCTCTGTCTCCTTTAGGGCACCCCAGTCCTTGCCGCAATAAACTCCCACCTCCCAGGGGGTTCTTCCAAGGACAACCCAACCTATCTGGGCCCTGGGAAGAGTCAGTAGGGAAGAGACCCCAACAGATAATACCTGGACATCTGTGTCTTTTTCTGAGCCAAGGAATGGCCAAGAGAACATTTTACTTGTTGAGACAAAACTCTGAGACCCAATTCTTCTCTGCAGCCCTAGCAACTGCCACCCAGACCACACCTCGGACCTGGACCACTGCAGAAGCCTCCTAACTCATCTTCTACTCTTGCCCGAACAATCTTTTAAAAGCACAAATGACATTTTGTCCCTTCCCTGCTTAACTCCCCCACCCCGCCCCAACCCCAACTGTGCTTGAAATAGATCTAAACTCCTGACAATGCCCTCTACATGAGCTGACCCATGCCTTTTCCAATGTCATTGTCCACCACTCTCTTTCTCAGTCCCCACCTAAAACCACTCTGACTTTTTCTGCCTTGCAAACAGGCCAAACTGTCACAGGGCCTTTGCACTTACTGCTCCCTCTGCCTTGAATCCCACCCAACCCCCCACCCCCAATCTTTCCCATGGCTGGCTCCTTCCTGTTTTTCAGGTCTTAGCTCTAATGTCACCTCCTCAGAAAAGCCTTCTCCCTCTGTTACCTTCCACTGTGAAGGCAGGAACTGTGTCTGCCTTGTTCAAGGCCGTATCTCTTGATTCTAAAAGACCTAGCACACAGCTGATGCCCATAAATCTGTAATGAACAAATGGCTCCTCCTGACATCTCTGTGCCCTGTTTCTCCATCCCCACAGTGACTGTCCTGGTCTAGGCTTCACCACCTCTTGCCTGGTCTACACCAGCCTCCTCACTGCCCCATTCTCTCAGTGATCCAGCCAATACACCCTGTAGACACAGTGACCTTTCTGGTGCTCACATCTGGTCAGGTCTTCTGTCTAAACTCTCCATCACTCTCTAGCCCCAATTCTATCTTTCTGAGTTCATCTCCCACTGCTCTCCTCCACAGCCCTATCACTCACTCGTATGTATGTATTGAGTGCCTACTATGTGCTGGGCCTGGGCACTTGAGACACATCAAAAAACAAAACAGGTAAAAAAATTCCTGATTTTTCTTCAGAAGCTTACAGTGAAGGAGTAGCAGATTCTCCTTGAATTTAACTTGCCCTTCCTTTTCTGCCTCACTACTTTCGCAAATGTATTAATAGTTCCCACTGTCTGAAATGCCTCAGGCAGGTCTCCTATAAAACACTTTTCCTTTCAGTCCCAGAGGGAGAGGAAAACAAGGGCTGTTGCCACCACTCATTCTTAGACCTGGTTCTGCCTTGCTGTTTTCATATCTTTCTCTCCCAGGAGACTGGCGCCCCTAAAGGGCAAGGACACGTGAATCACCTCTGTATTCCCAACACCAGGCACAGAGCCTGGAAGGGAGGTCGGGAAACTGAATCCATGAACATTTGATGATCAAATAATTGCTCCCCTTCCCTCCCCCACGACATGCAGACTCTTCCAGGAAGTCTTCCATCTACTCACAAGAGTTCTGCCAGCTCCCCCACTTCCCCCACCAAGGCCAGGAGGAGGTTCCGAGGCTGGTGGAATTGGTCCCAGTCTCGTTCAGCAGCAAACTCAGCATGGAGGCGTCGGCTGGAATAGAACAAAAGGGTGGAAGTTCAAGTCCCAGGGTTAAGGGGTGGGGGAGGAGATGTAGGGCCCAAGCAGGTACCCCAGTGATATGTAATGGGGGGACAGGACCAGCAGATTGTTCAACTAATTCCTTGGATGGCCTTGAGCAAGTTATTTCCTCTTCATGGAACTTGGCTTCCTCATCCATAAAATGGGCGCGCCCCTGAACCGACCTTAACATAGCCAAACCTAACAATACCGTCTTCATCATTCCATCTCCTGCTGCTACTTCTGTAGTTTCCTCTACCTGAATGTCCCTATCTCTGCACATCAAAATCCT